AGGTTTTCACACCAGCGCATCTACTCGTAGGCACAACGCTAGCAACGCTGCCACCCGCATCCGCGCAGCCAAAGGCAGACTGCAACCTCACGTACTTGCAGAGATGGCAGCTAGTCTCAGCGATCAAACAACGATTTTGGAGCGACTGGTCGAGAGACTATCTACTGAGCCTACAGCAGCGTGGAAAATGGACCAAAGGCGTGGACAATCTTCAAGTCGGAACAGTGGTGGCGATTCACGAAGACAACGTTCCCCCCCAATTGTGGATAACAGGCGTAGTCGCAGAGGTCATTCCAGGACATGATGGGAAGGTTTGCGTAGCTGTAGTCAGAACAAAATCTGGCATATTCAAGCGGTCTATTCACCGCCTTGCACCTATTCCTATGTGTTGAAGCATGCATGCTGTCAACGCGGCCGATGTTCAGGCAATTCAGTGGCGACGTATATTTGAAACCCAATGTTTACATTTAGTAATAGAAGCTGAGCTTGCATGCTCATATAGCTAAAAGCTCTCTCTCTCACTTACTCACTCAAGAACCCATTATTTTGTAAATCAAACAGCCCAAGAAGGAGCTTTAATAAACTGTGAAATCACTCGCAATCTGGAATCGAAAGCGTTGAGAAGCCCGACTTTGTGTCCACACATGAATTGATTTGAAACATAATTTGCCGTACCGGCCAGTTCGCAATTGGGCGAACAATCGGTTCATCCTACATATTGTAACGACCCTCTTTTGGGGTGCTCGGCCTAGCTCGCCGGAGTCGGGATTCGCACAGAAATTTGTAATGTCCGAGTCCCTCGTGTCCCAAATAACCAGTAAATAGGCAAGAGAATAAGGTATTTAATACAGTCTTTATTGATTATGATATAGAGAAACCTGTGGGAAAGTATACAGTGTTGTTGCTGCTGTTGTGATGTTTTGTTGCTACCCTGGTTGCGGGTAGATCCGTGTCCCGGTCTTCGTTGATGATCAGCCGGCTGGCTGATGATGGCACCCTGTGGTGGGTGATGCGACACTGTGACGAGTGGGTCGACTTGAAGTTACCCTGTTCGGGCGATGCGACTGTTGATAGTCGGCTTGGCGATGCTCAGGCTGAGTGTTGCGACTCCGCGACGAGTGTGCGGTGAGTCGGCTTCAGAATACCCTATTCGGATGATGCGACTGTCTTGTAGTCCGCTTGTTGATACCCTGTTCGGGTGACGCGATCGTCAGTGATCGGCTTGACGGCACTCTGTTTGAGTGATGCGACTCCGCTACGAGTGTGAGGTGAGTCGGCTTGAGAATACCCTATTCGGGTGATGCGACTGTCTTGTAGTCGACTTGTTGCTACCCTGTTCGGGTGACGCGTGTAGGGTGCGTGACCGTTTGCGGCTGGCCGCTGTCGTGGTCACGGTAGGTGGGTCCGGGTGACGTCTCTCGAAGTGAGCGACCGTCGTGCCTAAGCTCGCACCGTTCCTAACGCTTTCCTGCTACCCTGTAGTCAAGATCCGCCGGCAAGGGCCAGATCTTCTCCCCTCCTACGCTTGCTCTGCGAATGTGGCGAACCTCACTCGACGCCCTCCCCTATTCCTGATCCGCCATCCAAGGGCCAGATCAGAACCCACGTCTAGATTACCTGTAAGGCGTGGTCATACGGACCGCACTCGACATCCTGTTTCCGCGGAATACGCCAGCAAGGGCCAGACCTCGTCCCACACCTGACTATCTGCGCGAAGCCCGCCGACTAGGGCCAAACTCCGCTCCTCCCGGCTACTCCGTTAGATCTGCCTGCAGGGGCCAGACCTAGTCCTAACGCTACCTTCACCTGTTCTGTCTCTCTTTGCTATTAAGGTTCGCCGCCAGGCCAAACCTTATTCTACTGCTAGATCTAGGATTAGTACTACTTGTTAACTCACCAGTTGTCTCCTTGACTGCTCCGCAAAAGTGAAGTTGCACTGGCCGGTGCGTCGCACAGTAGCGACTCTCGAACAATTAGCGTTTCAAAAATCGAAAAAGTCATGTTCGCAAAAACGATACTTGTTCGACAGAAAATTTCCCAAGGATTCAGAATCTGCAATAAAATCTATTTTAAGATTTTTGTAGAAGATATGAGCATTCAAAGTTGAACTTTCTTTTGTTTTTGCATCATACCAAAAAAAGTAGGTAAAATGGTCGACTTTCAGGTAATATTACACAAAAACCATAAAACCAATGTTCATGGTTTTTACTTTAAATGATAGATACATTCATAAACTGTTAATTAACCCAAAAAAAACGGCACATTGGTTTCGGCTTGTACAGGTAAATCGCTACCTGCCAGGTGTCCATTTTTTTCACCTTTTTCTGCCTAAAGTAGTCTATAACTTCTGAAGCCGATGAAAGCCACCGACTGCACGATGTCTACAAGTTACGTGGATCTTTTTGGACCAGAATTAACTTTCATCGGCTGCGTCGAGCTGCGTCTGCGAAAATGCAAAGACATAAATCAAAACTACTCAGGGTTAAATATACCAAAATACCGACACAATTTCATACATTCCGGCAGACCCGACCCGCTTTGCTGGGCCCGAACTAATTATAGTTGACCCGGCAAACGCTGTTTTGTCATGTATATTATTTGTAGGAAACAATACGGAAACAATGAGCAAGTTACGTGGATCTTTCCTGGACCAGAATTAACTTTCATCGGCTGCGTCGAGCTGCGTCTGCGAAAATGCAACGACATAAATCAAAACTACTCAGGGCTAAATATACCAAAATACCGACACAATTTCATACATTCCGGCAGACCCGACCCGCTTTGCTGGGCCCGAACTAATTATAGTTGACCCGGCAAACACTGTTTTGTCATGTATATTATTTGTAGGAAACAATACGGAAACAATGAGCATATTACAGAGTTGTCAGTAAATAAAATATTAATCTTAATATATAAAAATCTCCTGTCACTATGTTTGTTCGCTATAGACTCCTAAACCGCTTCCTCTGCTTGTTCAATAAAATTATACTGGCATCGAGTCGTTACGCGCTCTTCACAATTGCCCATAAAATAAATTTGAAGAAATTTCGGATTATCATCAGGCATTGGCATCAATAATCCAATTTTGTGGTACACCTGGCCTTGTATTTTGAATGTAGTTTCAAAATTACGTCCATCGGATGCAAGATCACCAATTTTAGTGGCCCCAAATGACGTCATTTGGAAGCAACAATTAAATTTGCGTATTTTACGCAAAAATAATTTTGAGTCATTTGAATTTCCAGCAAGAAGGGATAATAAAGGTTCTGGCGGAGCAAGTAGAGGTTGCAGCACGACTTTTCCTGCTGCGCAGAACATACCGGCAGTTTCATTCCGAAATTAAAACGCCTGACAATATTGACATACTTTGTCCATTCCACCGATAGCAATTTTTGAATGCGCAAAGTAGTTAATATCTGGTGCATATTCAAAAGCAAGACGAACGAATGATGTACGAACTAATGAGCGACTGTTCCGCTGCCTTTGTCGTACTTGTGCTCGTACTATACATATTTATGTTTCTATCTCGAGCCGCCCTGATTCTCATAATATTCTGCTGCAGACGTTCGCGACGCTGTTCCTGGAATTCTTGTGCACGACCTTCTGCTGTCCTAATTCTTTGAGCTCTATTTCTTGTATTGACTTGTTCTGGGAACTGATGAGCTCTTTCGAAACGTCTGCGTCGTGCCACTCTGCTGCTTACGTTGTTGAGATTCGATCTTTTCGGTGGCATTTTGCTGAAAATAATATCTTACCTTAATGTATTTCAAATGAGAATTTAGAGACTCACCACTTATAAACACAAAAAAATAATTATGAATGACAAATGACAATAAAAGAAAAGACAATCTGACGAAATGCGATTTATTGAAATAATTTATTACAAAATATGTAATACGTGAAGAACCGCTCAACCAATTTGGTGCAAACTCATCAACAAAATAGCCCGAGCAAAGCATAAAGATTTGGTTAAATAAGCACACTAAATTCCATTGGTATCGGTAAAGCCGTTTCGGTGGAGTGCATAAAAAAAGAAGATTCCTCCTTGTTCTGCCGAAACTGCCATGATGTAAAAGATCTTAGCTATCCTATCTCTCAAGTTGAACCAAACTGCATAAGCACACTAAATTTCATGAGAATCGGTAAAGCCTTTTCGAAGGAGTGCATAAAAAAAGAAGATTCCTCCTTAAAATAAAAAAAAAATATTTTTTTCAGTTTTCAAATTATTTTTATTTGAGCAAATACATAAAAATAAACATAAAAAATTAAATAAAAAATATTTTTTAAAAATTGTTTTCATTGAAAAAAAAAATATTTTTTCACTTGGATACCCTTTAAAAAGGCGTATTTGTGGGCGTGGTACATTATGCAGTATATATTTATATTTTACAATAATTACCTGTCCAATGCCGTTTAAATTATTCGATTACCTTATTTGGTTCAAAAGATATGATTTTTGCAACGCTAAATGAGAAAAGGCGCTACTGTGCGTCGCTTTATATAGCCGGTCGACAACTGTTCTCCCCCGATCAATAATTCCCCGATGGCCGATAAGCAGGGCGTTGCCAGATCGATCGTATCCATTCGATCGTGAACATTCGTCAGCTGTTCAGGGCTGGACGCGCTATTCCTTGACCGGAGTTGCCACTACTATTCTTAATCTTAGTTCTACTTATGGATTATATTTGTTGTTGCGACTTGGGTCGTCGCAATATATCTAAAGGAAGCAGTTATGCAGTGTAAATAGGAAGTGGCCATTAACTCTGTGATTGCACAAGAGCTAATGGTTTCCATTACCTTGATAGGCATCCAACGCATCTATTTCCCTTTGTTCGCTGTCCCGCAAGTCTGCACTTTGCGTTTGCGAGGTGTATTACCCATTTTAATTTGAGTCAATAATTACATTAGACGCTTGTCGCGTAAGATTTTATTGTTTTGAATTGTCTTGTGTTACCTCGGGTTAATGCAGCTCCCCTCCGAAATAATCCCAATTGTGTATGTTACATTAAGTCTTTTTATTAAATGTGAAGTATTATAATTACCTTAGAAGACAATCTTAAATGCTTTATAAGTACATATGTTAAAAGTGAACTCGCCTATTTATAAAAGTGTTTTAAAGTTCGGCATGCGATCGAATAGAAGCGTCATTAAACCGACAGGAGTTATTTGAAAAAATTTTTAAAATATTTTTAGTACAAGCGAGCTAGGTTTCTCATTAACCATTTTTTTCTACACAATTCTGAGAAATAAAAGAATCAATTTGATACATTGTATTGCCATTAACTACTATAATTTTCTCAAAATAGGCAAAAAGAACCTAATGTTATCCAATCACACACTTTCGAGCATTTTAATGATAAAGCTTATCATTACTAAATATACTTGTGTATTACTAAAAGAACTTTCGTTTTAGCTATTAGTTCTCAATTTATTTTTTACAATTGTGGTTTTATTGAATATACCACGAGGTGAGTGTTTTTCGTGTCGTATTGTTTGAGATAAAACAATTCTCCAACTAATTTAATGCAAAATGAGATGTCATACTATATATGTATATACTGTTTTTTTCATGCATCTTAATACACAATATTCCTTTATAACTAATATTTCTTTTCCATTAGAGAGGGATGACAAACTAACATTGATCTAAGACTATTATAAGCTAACACATTTAGTTTTTACTGCTTTCATCACATACAGCAAACATAAAAATAGGTGTATTCATCCAAATCAAAGTATTATCTCCGATTTTTATACAACAAATAAGTTTTCATCGATTGTGGAAGCTGAAGCTGTTGTATACGTTCCTCCAAGTGCGCACGACCAATTTTTTGTCGAATTGTTCTTCGGCACAGATCCATTAGCGGCAAAGGTTCGGCTTAAATGGTAGAAAAAAATGTATTATATATTTTATTTATAATTGTGCTTAAAAAGCAGAAAGAAACAAAGTCGAGTATGTCCGACTGTGAGATACCCGGTTCCTAGGGCTTAAAATATTTTATTATTCTGAATTATTTTATTTTAAATTTTAATTTAATTTTAAATTAAACACATCAAATTTGCAGCAACTAACAAATGCTAAAAATTGCTAGACACCCAAAAACAAGGCAAATAATACTACGAAAATGTTGATCAACGCCCATTAGTTGCCAACACAAATGTATGTGCGGCAAAAGTTTAATATTCTCAAAAACCTAACTGTTTACATTATTTATTAACGACGTACATATAAACGCTGACGACGCACAGTAGCGCCTCTCGAACAATTAGCGTTGCAAAAATCAAAAAAGTCATGTTCGCAAAAACGATTTTAACCATACTTATTCGACAGGAAATTTAACAAGGATTCAGAATCTGCAATAAAATCAATTTTAAGATTTTTTTTGTAGAAGTTATGAGCATTTAAAGTTGAACTTTGTTTCGTTTTTTGCATCATACAAAAAAAATGTGTAAATTGGTCGACTTTCAGGTAATATTACAAAAAAACCATAAAACCAATGGTCATGGTTTTTACTTTAAATGATAGATACATTCATAAACTATTAAAGAACTTAAAAAAAACGACACTTTGGTTTGGGCTTCTACAGGTAAATCGCTACCTGCCAGGTGTCAATTTTTTTCACCTTTTTCTGCCTAAAGTAGTCTATATCTTTTGACGCCAATGCCGGCCACTGACTACACTATGACTACAAGTTCCGTGGATCTTTCCTGGATCAGAATTAACTTTCATCGGCTGCGTCGAGCTGCGTCTGCGGAAATGCAACGCAAAAAACCAAAACAACTCAGGGTAAAATATACCAAAATACCGACACAATTTCATACATTTCAAGAAATATACTAACTGTAGCGCGTGGCGGTTACACTTCGAATTAAAAAAAAAATTTTTTTTCAGTTTTCAAATTATTTTTATTTGAGCAAATACATAAAAATAAACATAAAAAATTAAATAAAAATTTTTGTTTAAAAATTGTTTTCATTGAAAAAAAATTATTTTTTCACTTTGATACCCTTTAAAAAGGCGTATTTGTGGGCGTGGTACTTCATGCAGTACATATATATATTTTACAAGAATTACCTGTCCAATGCCGTTTAAATTATTCGATTACCTTATTTGGTTCAAAAGATATGATTTTTGCAACGCTAAATGAGAAAAGGCGCTACTGTGCGACGCCAAGCTTTGCGTGCAATGCAAGGACGCTGATTGCAAGTCGGATTTACAAACAGATTTTGATAATATCCAAACATAATGTCACGAAAACTTATTAATCTTAAACTTCCAAGCTTGATACTTATACGCTGAACTGTTGTACTTTAGAAAGAATCACTATAGTTGATCCTTAGGCGTCCGCCTGGATCCTAAACTTGACTTTATCAATCATTTTTCATGCATAAAGTCCGTGGTATACTTGGAGGGTGGTCAATGGAATTCAATTGACCCCTATGTTACAAAATTTTTATGTACTTTATTAGTTTGTCCCATCTTAGAATATGGATTTTTCGTGTGGAGCCCCCCCAGTATGCCGCGTTTACTGATGCATTGTGTTCTAAAATCTTTTTCCTTTTCGCTCTTTGCGGTTTTGCTATTTATAAGTCAATGGTTTTTTTCTCATTGAGAATAGAATGAAGCATTTAAAATTGACTGTTATACTTTTAATATTAAGGGGGGACATCTGAGTAACTTTTTTTAAAAATCGAAAAAAATTTTTTTTGCTTAAAAAATTTTTTTTGCTTAAAAAATTTTTTTTGCTTAAAAAATTTTTTAGGGTCTAAAAAATAACATACCAAAAGATAGAGTCCGGCAAATGTGTCTAAGTGTCGAAATTTTTCCATTCTGCGGCGATGCCTCTCATGTAAATATATACGATTTTAAAACTTTAAACGCGTATTTCTCAAAACCACTTTTTTTGAGTTGGCCGGAAACCTAACTCGAACAAATCTTAACCGATCGATCTGAAATTTTGACAGTATATCCATAATACCTTTGTTATACCCTTGCAGGGTATTATAATTTCAGTCAGAAGTTTGCAACGCTGTGAAGGAGACGTTTCCGACCCTATAAAGTATATATGGGCATTTCCACAGAAAGGTCAACCGCGGCCAAAACACTAAAACTTCTCTAAAAATTTTTTTTTCCAATTGGAAAAGGCCAATTGATTAAATTTGAAGGGCTATATCATATTCTAAAACAAATTTCGAAATATTCGAATGCATATTCGCGCAAACACGATTTTTCATTATTTTGATGAAAAACATCATAAAAATGGACCTGTTTTCTTTTGTTAATTACATCCAAACCGAGGCATTATGCTTTGACTGTTGTTTACTAACATCCCTAGAAGAATGCAAAAAGTCGAAATAAAATAGATATATGCTCTTCCAATTTACTTATAATAGTAAAAATAACATGCAAAGTATGATGAAAAAATATGTCGCGTGCGAATATGATTAAAATTAAGTAAAAAATAAACTACGCTATATTTTTGCTTGTAAATTAAAGCATATGAAAGTGACATTATTGCATCATATTTTAAAATTTGTTTCATTAAAATATTCCCTGCCGTTTCGTTGAAATCAGTGTTTAAACAGCTCGCCGCGAAAGTGACTTCTGTTTTTGTCGCGTGCGAATCCTTCATTTTTTTTAATTTTCTTAAAATTGAGCAAACTCTCAAAATCAACATTTGCACCAATTATAGTCCTAAGCAAGAGCTATAAGTTAACATTTATAAAAATAAAAAAAATTAAATGTACCATACTTTTTTTTTGATTTGAATGCGTACGAATGTCGCGTGCGACATTATGGAAATGCCCATATATTCTTGATCAGCATCAACAGCCGAGTCGATCTAGCCATGTCCGTCTGTCCGTCTGTCCGTCTGTCCACCTGTCCGTTTCTACGCAAACTAGTCCCTCAGTTTTAAAGCTATCTGAATGAAACTTTGCATATAGTCTTCTATATACTCTCACTGCTATATACGTCGGAACGGGCCGGATCGGACGACTATATCATATAGCTGCCATACAAATGTTCGATTAATTTTTAAAAAAATAATTATAACTTTGCTGTTTTTAAACATTTTTGCATAATTTCTTAGATATGTCTATTTCATATTATTTCAGAATTTTGGTAAAAATTTTTTGAAAATCAGACGACTATATTATATAGCTGCCATAGGAACGATCGGGAAATTAATAGAAATTAAATTATAGCTTCGTTGTTTTTTAACGCATTTTATTTACTCTGAGATATAAGCTTTTTCTATTATTCTAGAATTTTGGTATAAATTTCATAAAAATCGGACAACTATATCTTATAGCTGCCATAGAAGCGATCGGTAAATGTATAAAATATATAAAGCTGGGAATGTAAAACTGTAACTGTCAAACTGTAAACATAATAAGCATAGGTAAAAAGTAAGGAAACTCTGTTTTGTGAGTGTTTTCAGCATTTAAATCAATAATATAAACATCGAAACCAATCTGCAAGGGTATACAAACTTCGGCGTGCCGAAGTTAGCTTCCTTTCTTGTTTTTTTTTTATTTTTGCTTACTTATTTTTTATCAACAATTTTGTGACTTTTTTTCTCATGAAAATTGAAAATTTTTTTTAATCACTCACCATTTTGCAAAAAATCAAAATATCGAAAAAATCCTACGTGTGTCGATAGCGGTTGAGATATAGAATCTAACAAAATTTGATTGTTTGTTCTAGATCTAAAATTAAGGACGTTAGGTTTCCGGCCATGGACCCCCTTCAACAAAAATGGGCCTACGAAGAAATGCTGCACAGCCGCCGTTTTGTTTTCGATTTATTCCAAAAAAATGTATTTTGTACTTAAGGGGGGACATCTGAGTAACTTTTTTTAAAAATCGAAAAATTTTTTTTTTTGCTTAAAAAATACTTTAGGGTCTTAAAAATAACATATCAAAAGATAGAGTCCGGCAAAAGTTTCTAAGTGTCGAAATTTTCCATTCTGCGGCGATGCCTCACATGTAATCATATACGATTTTAAAACTTTAAACGCGTTTTTCTCAAAACCACTTTTTTTGAGTTGGCCGAAAACAAAACTTGAACAAATCTTAACCGATCGATCTGAAATTTTGACAGTATATCCAAAATACCTATGGCTATCGACGTACGTAGGATTTTTTTTTTTTTTTTTGCTTACTTTTTTTTATCAACAATTTTGTGACGTTTTTTTTTCATGAAAATTTAACATTTTATTTAATCACTCACCATTTTGCAAAAAATCAAAATATCGAAAAAATCCTACGTACGTCGATAGCGGTTGAGATATAGAAACTAACAAAATTTGATTTTTTGTTCTAGATCAAAAACTAAGGACGTTAGGTTTTCGGCCATGGACCCCTTCCAAAAAAATAGGGCCTACGAAGACATGCTGCACAGCCGCCATTTTGTTTTCGATTTATTAACAAAAAAATTTATTTTGTAGTTCACATCTAACATTATCAAACCTACTTTAAAATTTAAAATTCTAGAAAATGGGCTTTTTTTTTGCCAGTTACTCAGATGTCCCCCCTTAACTCGGTCCAAAATCCGGGACGTATTTTGCATCATTACATTAGCGTTCTCCATATATTTTTTTTTATCGTTCCTAATTTGCTCAGCATAGCATTTTAGTTTTGCTGTTCAATTAAATTATTTTCTTCATTTTGACACACAATATGGACAGAGGAACGATCTTATCTTCGGAGGAAAAATCGAAAAACTTAGCGTTTTATGAATGTGGACTTTCCTTTCACAAAATTTTTAATATATTAATATATAAAAGTTGTATTTTTATACATAGCATATATATATATACAGCTGTGTTCACTGAAATAGCAGTGCGACAGAGGAACAACTTCAAAACGTTTTTT